GCCTCCCGCTGCTAACCAATAGGTTGATGGTTCCAATCTATCTAGAGGCACCTCCAAAGAAAAACTTGGTGATCTACTTCCCAAAAAATTAGCCATTGAAAACCCCACAAAGCACATTTTTCCTTTGACACACAGAGGTTGCCATGAGTCAGAGTTGACACCAGAGCAACTAGAAGTTGAGGCTGGGGGGAGTCAAAGGTATAGGACACTTCTCGCATTAGCACAAGCTCCCTCCCTACTTAAACCACCTAAATCAAAACCAAAGCCACAGCTGTTGCCAACCCATGTTATTGTCATGGTTTGCCCTCGAGTTATTTCTGACTCTTAGGGACCGCAGAACGAAACCCTGCCCGGTCCTGCGCCATCTCACAATTCTCTGTGATCCTAGGGTTACAGCCACCATGGTTCCTCCATCTTGCCAAGGGTCTTCCTCCTTTCCAATGTCCCTCTACTTTACCAAGCACGAGGTCCTTTTCTAGGGACTGGTCCCTCCTAATAACTTGTCCAAAGCATGTGAGATGATAAACTCTCGCCATCCTTGCTTCGAAGGAGCATTCAGGCTGTACTTCTTCCATGAGAGATCTATTTGTTCTTTTAGAAATTCCTGGTACTGTCAGTATTGTTATTATTATTATTACTATTATTATTAATGGGTTAGGGTTGCTTTATCAAGGGAATACCCACCTAGAATTCATTCTATTAAATCTGTTCCAATATGAAGGATTGCTGAGAGGTTTGTAGTAACTGTAGCGCTTCAGAAGGCTAGTTGTCCTCATGTGTTAATCTTCTTTGCCAACACAATAATTCAAATATGTTAATTCTTCAGTCTTGCTTATTTACTGACCTACTTTCACATCCTGACCTATGTCAACCCATAGCAACCCCGTAAGAGAGTAGGACTCTCCTGTGGGGTTCCTAAAACTGTAAATATTTACAGGAACAGACTGCCACATCTTTCTCATCGATGCAACTGACGGATTCCAACCTCTGACATTGTGACTAGCAGCTGAGCACTTTAACCAATGCATGAAGCAGAGCCATTGACATCTGGGCCACGTGGCCATCACACTTCAGGGGGCCTAAGCTCCCAGCTCTGCACAGTGGCGCAACCTAGATCCTCCTCAGGGGTTCTTAGAATACCATCACTACCACCTTCACAGCCAAGACCGGTCTATGGCTACAGAGGTATTCCGTCACCAGACTCATTGTGACACCATCGCAGTCCGCAGACTCCCCAGCTCAGGAGCAGCGATTGTCCACCAACCAGCTGGTCATTGTGCTGTGGGAAGTGTAGAGCTGGACAGTCAACATGCTTCATTGCCACAGAGTGGCCCGTTGTCTCATGGGCCTGTCTAGTCTCATCCCTGGGCACCTGGCTCCCCTGGGAAACATTGCCTGAGAACACATCGAGCTAGCTTACTTGAACGGCACCCTGCGCTGCAGCTCCCGGAAAGCACTGCTGGCTGTCATCATAGGAGAATGAGACATGGCCACTTACAGATGGCCCCTTACGGGCGCCACGCAGCTGTGTGCTTCTTCCTACCACTTCAGTGGGCTTCTCCGAGTAGCAAGCCCCTTCATAGTCTTCATTAGCTGGGTGGTGTCATGGCGAAAGCCATCAGCTACCAATCACCAGGTCCACCGTTGGAACCCACTAGCTGTTCCAATGGGAGAAAGCTGTGGCAGTCTGGCAATCTGCTCCTGTCAACATGTGCAGCCTTGGGACCCCGATGGGGCAGTTCTCGATCTGGCCCAGCGGCTTAGCTATGAGTTGGGGTAAGGCAGCCCAGGGAGCCCTTCTCAGAACAGTGCGCCAGATTTTCAGGCCAACTGAAAATCTCATGTGTTAACCTTGTACATTCATTTTAACAGATTGTGGGCTTACTTGACACTTTTATCCTCCCTGTACTTGTTACCTCCTTTCCAGTTGGCATTCACTACCGTGCTCCGGAATGCAGACCAGGAAACAGAAAGCACAGGCCCCGTTGAGGCAAAGGAGGCAAATGTATGGACAGCCTTGTCAACCCTATTGGAGTTACCCTGCTGGGACGCTTCCTCAATTGGAAACAAATGTGAGTGCTCCTGGTAGGCGACGGTGGAAAAGACAGACGTGGTCACTTCGCCCTCGGGATGTTTAACCTTAACCATAGCCAACCATCTGGTATCGATTACCAACCAGAGAACTCAAGTGTGTTTCTCAAGACTGGGGGATTTTTTTGCTCGTGACCCTGACATTACGTGAATGGGGATCTGCTTTCCAGAGTGTCCAGTCCTCGGCTAGCTGGGTGCTCAACCTCACATAGCCCAGTACTTTGGTCTCACCGACCCTCAGACTCATAGCGACCCTACAGAACAGACTGGAACTTCCCCCCTGGGTTTCTGAGACTGTCACTCTTGACAGGAGCAGAATGCCTCATGTTCCTCCAGCGGAGCGGCTGGTGGCTTTGAACTCTTGCCAGAATGGTTATCAGCCCAATGAGTAACCCACTACATCACCAGGGCTCCTTATGAGGCTTTTTTTCTTCTTCAGCTTTTTTTGGAAAGGTACATGCGGGTGTAAGCTGGGGTTTTAGTAGCTCTGAACCATTGAATGCAAAGGGTGGGGAAGTGGATTAAATCTGACTAGATTATAATAGATTACAGATGAAACTCACTTTTGGTATTTCATGTGAATCAACCCATAAATAACAAGCAGGTAGGTAAGGGCCAGGGAACCTTGCTCTGGGCAGAAATGACCTATTTTGTAAGCAGATGATATGACCTCTCAGCATATGTCTCCCAGGACCAGTGTGTCTTCCTAAAAAGAGGAAAGAGAGTATGGTGACCATGAAGAGAGACTCATTGCACTCAAATCCCAAAGCGAAAAGAAACCCACTTAGAATGAAAGCCCAGGGCACAACCAAGGCTGGCAAGAGTTCTGCTTTAGAATAGTTTCTCCCAGTCCCAGTAAGATACGACAAAAGCTGCAGCGACTTAGAAAGATATGTTCTCAGTGTTGGGGAAATCCAGGATTGGTTTAGGTAGGCATGTAGTGAGGATCCTTGCTCCCTGCCATCAAGTTGATTCCAATTTTTAGGGACCCTATAGGACAAGGTAAAGCTGCCCTGTGTGGATTTCTGAGGATATAACTCTGTAGGAGTAGGAAGCCTCATCTTTCTCCTACAGAGTGGCTGGTGGTTTCAAACTGCTGATCTTGCATTTAGCAACCTACCAAGTAACCCACTAGACCACCAGGGCTCTTAGAAGTGAGGATCATAAATACACTAATAGTTATCAATTTTTAGATTGTGTTCTGTGTGTTATTTTTTATATACTTATCGTCAGCTGCCAGCCAGTGGGCTCCCAAGTCACAATGACCTTGATTGCAACTGAATCAGGTGCTGCCCAGCCCTGCTCCATCCCTAGTTGCTGATCAGCCCATAGTGATCCACAGGGTTTGCATTGAGCGATCTTCAGAATTCAATTGCCAGGCCTTGCAACCTTAGTCTGTCTTAGTTTGGAAACTCCATTGAAACCTGTTCAGCATTATAAAAAGCCCCACTTGCTATTGAGTCGATTGTGACTCATAGCAACCCTATACAGCAGGGGTCCTCAAACTTTGTAAACAGGA